AAAAAATCTACTTGTCAGGAAGGGCGCGGTGTTGGTCCTGGCGGCCGTTCTCACGGAATCTGAGACGTGCAAACAGAAAACCATCAAAATGGGGAACTAGAAAATCTCGTGGGTTGGTTAAACTTCATTTCCCTTTCACTTCTCTCTGAACAAAACATTTCCCACAGAATTCCCTGAACAAGGGAGCAAAGAAAAGTTACACACCGCGTCTTTTTGAGATCAGTCTCTATATACAGCTACCGCGTATAGAAGTATCAGTTCCTATAGCGTCCAGGGGTTACTGTGACCCTATAGTCCGACCTCTCAGTTTTAATTCTGTCAGGGGTCACGTCACCACAAGCTGGGCAGAGGGCGGGTGGCTCTGCTCAGACATCCCTGTGCCCCTCTCTCTCTCTCGCACAGTCAATACGCGCTTCAAAAAGGATCACAGCCCGGATGTTATGCAGATGTTAGGAACCCCAAAATGCGCACCAGACAGATCAGTAGGGGGTTCTCTCTGTCAGACCCCACACCAGACAGATCAGTGGGGGGTGTCTCTCCAGTGGAGCCCACACCAGACAGATCAGTGTCGGGGGTCTCTAATCTCTAATCTTTCTTGTCCAGAGGAAAGTATTCGAAAGTATTAGAAAAGTATTAGAAAGTATTAGAAAGGGACTTAAGTGCTGTATTTTCCCACTGCGTTACAACCTGTTTATAAAAAGCCCGTACTGCCTGTAGCAGGTTGATCTCTGACTCACTCTGCGGAGTGACAGCGGGGCTCCCAATATTGCAGTACTGAAATAAAGACCTTACTCAGGTGAGAGCTCTCTCTCGGGGCTTCCTTGAGAGCCCAGCCTGGCTGATAAAAACGAAATAGGAAGCTGAGAAGCTTCACAATAACACCGATCACACAAACCCCAGCCCCGAAAAAGATATGTGTTTTCTCCCCGGCATTTTGCTATGTGCCCTTACAGCAATGAGATAATTGAATGAGCTCCATTAAAACGTGCATATTTACATTATAAGACTATTTCCACCGTAGCCTGATATAGTATAGCGCATGTAGCAGTTCTCACAAAGCTGAGAAAAATACTTGAGCCCCGCTTACCTGCAAAAATCAGGATCCCAGCCTCGCACAAGTGTTCAGGATGGTCCCCCACGCCAATAAGACTCGGCTATTCGCAGCTATCGATTAATCGATACACCGTTGAGAGCGAGCGTACTTCCTCCTGCTGGACCCAGGAAGGGCGGTCCCCCGTGACGTCAGGCGACCACAGGGGACACTCACGTCAGGTCCCGCGATCGGGACACGGGGCTCGGACCCGGAGCCGGCGGCCTGTGGTTTTATCTCGGCTTGCCGAGAGCGTGCGACCGTCCCGAATAGGGAAGAACAACACGTCCTGTCCTAAAACTATCTCGCCTGGAATAGCTGTACGGCGGAAAGCATTTTTTAAAGCGATCAACAGAAGCAAGGGACTTAAATAAATATAGATCTATAAAAATCGAACACTTCAGCTGGTTTTGAAGTTAGGAAAAACACAGTTTCACTACCGTTTCAGTCCCGTCTCTATCACGGTCACAGAAAACACGTCTGACGGAAGAGTCTTTTCCGGGGGAGAGTACCTTGTGGGACATGCCCACCCTGCGCCCGACAGCAACAGTCACGTTCGCGCGAATGAGCTCGGGTTCTAATGAAGCTCCTCGCATGCAGCCAACGAGACGGGTCTGAAACACAGACACTCGCCGTCCTTTTGCTTTCTGCTCTGTGTGCTTTCTGTGTGCTTTGTGTTCTGCGTGATTTCTGTGTGCGGTGTGCTTTCTGTTTGCTGTGATTTCTGTGTGCGGTGTGTGCTTTCTGTGTGCTTTGTGTTCTGCGTGATTTCTGTGTGCGGTGTGCTTTCTGTTTGCTGTGATTTCTGTGTGCGGTGTGTGCTTTCTGTTTGCTGTGTGTTCTGCGTGCTTTCTGTGTGCGGTGTGCTTTCTGTCTGCTCTGTGTTCTGCGTGATTTCTGTGCTGTGTGCT